AATCGCCGTGGGACCAAAGAGTTTGCAGAAATTTGATGGCTGCCCGCTGCCCGCTGCCTGATGCCTGATGCCACGGCAAATGCCATGTATGTGTCAAATGTGACCAGAGGTTAGCAATTATTATCGAACAAATTGTCAGCGATGCTGTGAAAACAATGCGACGTTGTCCCCGTTGAGCATTGACTCCACTCCACTCCACTCCACTCGCAAGCCAAGCGAGGTTGTCGACCAAGACCAAGACGAAGACCAGGTCCAGACCAGAAGTCGAAGTAGAAGTCGAAGTCGCAGACCATTCGGAACGTTTATCCCGCTAACGCATCTCGACGCTGTGCGGATTACGTGGAAAAGCCGGCGAGTGGAAAAGCGCATGGTGGTCAGAGAGTTAGCACACAGTTGATGATTAGAGCGGCCCGGCTGACATCTGATTTGTATTTACTTTGGCCACAAAATATTATAACGACCAGCGATGCGACGGATAAGCACAAGAGTCGCAGTTGCAGTCGGCGCAACTGCAGTCAACCGACAACAACATGCCAGCAATAGATATGAAGGCGCCGATAAGCGCGGCCCACAGAGCTGGCCCCGCTCGGCCGTACGCTGCTCGTGCGGGCCGCCAATGCGCGTTGACCTGTCAATTGTTGGCTATTGAAATGTCAGCGCAACTTGTTGCCAACCAGCTCAGCCAGTCAGTCGGCCATTGCCTTGCCACTGCAACTGCAACTGCAACTGTAATTTGTTGTGCAGCAAGTTCGTCGCCTCAGTCTTTTGATTGCTTAGGACGCATTGACGCGTCGGTTGCGCCCACCGCGCGTTGCGCCCTAATTGCAGTGTCGATTTTCACGAATTCACACACAAAATGCTGCACGTGAACAATCAGACAGCATCTGCCTTCGCCATCTCTACCCGAAAAATACAAAAAATAAAACAAAAAGCAAAGAGCAAAAACCAAAAACCAAAAACAAAACCGAATTTCAGCTCCATTGAAAGCCCAATGCGATGGCTTCAACTCTTTTGGGGTCCTCTGTGCATTCCAGCGCATTCTGCTTATTTGTAAGATATTTATTGCCATCGATTGGTGCGCGATAAGCAGCACACGTAAAGTGTTTGCCGGTTACGGCGCAAACTACACGCCAGCAACAGCAACAACAGCAATAACAGCAACAGCAGCAGCAGCAGCGGCAGCAAGAGCGACTGCAAAGGCTGTGCGGGCTAAGCCAAAGCTTAGCTAACAATGGACCTGCCTAGCAGCCCAAAAAGCTGATGTTGCTGTTGCCAGCAACAGCTGCTGCCGCTGCTTCTGCTGCTGCTGCTGAGGATTAGCTCTGCTCTGCGTCATTTTATTGTTGTTGCTATATCGTTTGTTTAGCCATTTCGTAACGTTACGCCGCCTCGCACACCTTACCTATACACACACACACAGTCGCACACACTTGCAACGCCAACGCCAACAATTGTTTATCAATTTGTTAAATCAGCTGCGCTGCGGCGTTGCCGTCGCAGTTGCGATCGATCCTCGCCGATAAGCAACACACACACACACACATACACAGACGGCTTGAAGACTGTGGCCATGGCAAGGGCAGGGGCCAAGGGGATGCTTCGTTTTATCAGCCGGCAGATTATTGTTGCTGGTTTCTCACTTGGCCAGCATTGTTGCCGCTGTTGCTGCTGAGGCTGCCGCCGCTATTGCTGCTGCTGCTGCTGTTGCTGCTGGTGGGCGTTGTATGCAGCCATAAACAATCGAGCAATTTGGCTTAAGCCAGGGCCATCCGCCTGAAAGTAAGGCAGCGATTGAGTGGGGAGGCTGAGGCTCTCCAAAGGGCAGAAAGAGAGGGGAAGGCAGAGCCAGGCGACCCTTTGTTCATTTGTCGCTGGTGAATGCCGGACCGCCATCGCGGCTAATCGCTGCGAGCCGAAGGTCAGTTAACTCGAAAAAAAGTAGATAAAAGCAGGCAGTAGATAACTGAAAGATACCCTGTAAAGAGGCTTAGTAGGTTGAATAATGGAAAGTTAAAATAAAATTCTATATATGCAAGATATGCTCTGTAAAGAAGCTAAGTAAGAAAAATACTTTTTTTCTAGCATTAATTTCGATAGCAACGAATCACCTATCGATAGTCGAAAACCCACTACACAGAGAGAGTAAAGATCTCTCCATTTCACTAAATAAATATAGAGAGATATACATGTATATGTCGATATTTACAGACGCTCAGCTTTACAGGGTATCTAAAAAGCCATATCTTATAGACTAGCTGCGTAGCTTCAAGCTGAAAGTTCATTTTGTGGCCAGCGTTTTGGAATCTTGATTGTTGTGTGGCAAAGACGCAGCAGACGCTAGACGGTGCAGCTTGGAGTCGACGCCAGTTGGTCTGGCCGGCTCAAGACCTGGCTGTACTTGCAACAGTTGCACGGGGCGTATGCGTAATGTTCGATGGGGGCGTGCTAAGAGCCGGCGCGCTTTGCATGGGGCGTGCGAGTGGAGGTGGGAGTGGGAGTGGGAGTGGAAGCTGCAGCAGGAGCACAACTATTTTAGTTGCTTATAATTAAACAAATTTTCCCAGCGGAAACAAATTGAAAAACGTGAGTTGCCCAATCGCCGCCAGAGCGATGAGAGCGCAGCAGAGCCCAGGCTCAGCTCTGCTCTGCCTGATAACGAAAATCTTCATTTTCGCGCGAAAATGTTGCCACCTTGTGGCAATCAACGCCATCAGCAGCAGCAGCAGCAGCAGCAGTGGGACTCCGCTTGAGCACAGGTTCGCCAGAGTTCGGGGGCCCGGCACTGTTATCAATTGTTATTAATCAACAACAAAAGCCAGCAAAAACAAATGCAGAGAGCGCGCTAAATTCAGCAATACGAAAAAAGGCAAAGAGAATCGCGTTGCGGGCAACATTTCTTTTCACACTTTAGCTCCAAGTTCAATGCGAATACCCTGTAATCCTTGTAGGTATTTAGGAGTTAGTTTAATTCCTGTCCTATTCGGTGAGATCTAATCACTGAAACTATAAATCATGCAACAAGTTGTTGCTGTGGAAATCAATAATTCTGTTAGTTTTTGATCGTTTTTTTTCCCTCAGCTTCAGTAAACCCCATTTTCAACTAAATTATTGTATACGTAAATATATACCAAAAAGGGAACAATTAAAATAAAAAATATAATTAATTTAATTTTTCTTGTAATATTTCAGATAGTTTTAGTATTCTTGTAGGTCTAAAAACTTGCATTTCCTCCCTCACATATATAGACAGGGTATCTCTGCAGGCAGACAGGGTATCTCTTAGTCGATTATTGCACTGGCCACAGCTGCATCTTGAGCGTTAACCCGGGCAAATAATCAACATTCTCATATCTTGGAGGCTTCGCGGAGCTATTCGTGATTTACTCGCAGTTTTATTCTACTGCTGCTGCTGCTTCTTCTTCTTCTCTTATTCAGCACCTCCTTAGCGCTATGGGAAACGGCGGTGGAGTGAAATTCTTTGATTCTTTGATCGCGGATAAGCAATTTGACTTCGCAGTTTTGCGCTTCACAGGCATATTGCAAAATTAAATTGTATTTGTTTTGAATTATATATAATTATATGGTTAGTTTTGTTTTATAAATTTATATTTAATTAGTTGAATAACTCAATAATTTATAAAGTTTGAATAAACTAAAGTAGTTGCATTCGAATTATGTGACAGATAAGCGAGATTCCAATTTTGTTCTTGAATATTTAACGTATATGATATCTTAAGTTTTACAAGTATAAATTAAATAATAATAATAAATTTGGATGATATTAATCTTTAATCAATAATATAAAATCACAAGAATTTCTACATATTCTACATATTCAAGCTGTGAGCCTTGTTTAACTATTTAATCAAACAGTCGTTATTATCTAGTCGGATAATCTCCAGTAAAACACGCCTAATTATATTCACGAAAAATGTTATTAACATATTCAGCTTCACAGCTTTTCAGGCAATAGTTTAGGCCAAGCTGTTGGCAATACTTAACTATATTATTTCAGAAAACACTCTGAATTATGTTCGTTAAATAATCAAAAAAAAATTTCCATGATCATTGGCAGCTTTGGTCTTGAATCTTTGGTTGAAATGAAACATCATTTATAATAATAAATTTTCCTTTTCTCCCTTTGTTGTTGGGCTCTCATGCCATAGCCAAAGTCAAGTTCAGTTCCCTCAAAGTACAGCAGTTCTCCATGCAATAGTTGCTTGAATAACATGAAGCTCGACTGACTGCAACTTCGGACGCGAACTGCGATACAGATTTCGACCTAGACTCTAAAGTTCAGAGCTGGCGACTAATTTAGCGCACGTAGCGCAAGTCCACGTAGATGTCACCAGGCGAATGGGCATACAAAGTATCGACGACTGTTGCTGCTGCTGCTGCATCAGCGAGGGGGCGGAGGCTAACCATGTAGTACAATCTGCAATCTATAGAAGCTACGAAAACACAAAGTCTGTGTCTGCTTTGGCGGGGCGGACGCGAAACGGAACTGGAGGAGGACGGCAGGCAATTCCTCGAAATCAAGCGAGTCTCCAAACTCTTTTTGATGTCTTAATTAAAAAACGTGCAAATGATGCGACAGGGGCGGAGCAAGGGACGGGGTAAATGTTTGTCTGGGCCTCTGCACAGAGTTCAATGTTGAGCAATTGATGCAACTGTTGAGATGTGTTGCTGTTGCAGCTGTTGTTGTTGCTGCTGCTGCTGTTGTTGTTGCCAGTGCGGCACGGCATGCTGATAAGGCGGCAGGGGTTAGCAGGGGCTGCAGGGTTTTGGGTTAAGAAATTGTCGCAGTACTTGAAAATTTCGTGTGAGCACGCTCAGCGTCGATTGTTGCCAGCGCTTGATCGCTTGATCAGCAGCAGCCGAAGCAGCAGCAACAGCAGCAACAACAGTTGTCGTCTGTTAGCAACACACACACACACACACATGCACTCTCACATTCGGCTGATCAATTGCGATCTGCAGTTTCAGCTGCTGTTGCTCCCACTATCTTGTGTGTTGTTGTTGTTGCTGCTGCTGCTGCTGCTGCTGCTGTTTCCGTGCCTGTTGCAACTGTTGCACAAATTTAAATTGACCCAAGTGCAAGTTTGAATGTTGCTAATCTATAATCGCTTTGCCAGCCTGCGAGCATATGTGTGTGTGTGTGTGCTTGTTGCACTAGCCATGTTGTTGTTGTTGTCGAGCAGCAACATGTTGCTAGCAGTCTCATAATTTGCGTTTATTAAACACGGCCTTCATTTGCATAAACGTCCTCTTGTGCACGGGATTAACATCACAGCGCAATGTTTGTTGCTGGGCGCATCAGCTGCTGTTGCTGCTGCAACAGAAATCCCTTAGTTCTTCGGCAGCAACATTGCAATTGCTGTAAACAAATCACGCTTCTGGCAGATCAATCAACTTCATTTCAGCAGCACAACCAACTGACAATTGTTGCCAGCCATTGCTGACAATTCAATTGTGTGTATTTGCCCCAGCAGCAACAGCAACAGCAACTCATAGACACGACAGCAACATAAATGAACACAGCGACAATACAAGGGGAACAAACGGAAATTTCTCTCGTTTGCCCTCGTTTACAGTTACATTAAATTCGTGAGGGCGGCGACACGCCTCGAGAAAACAAAATCAGTGTCGTGGGCGTGGCTGGGGCGGCGGGCTGCAACTGCGAAATCGTGTCTGGCATTGTGTTAACTTCATTGCTTCAACAATTTTTGATGACTTTGATGAGTTTATCAACGCGAGCAGCCACGGCAGAGCGGAGCGGAGCGGAGCGGAGCGGAACTGCAGCCGGGCGGAAGGTTGTCCAGTTGTTGAGATCTTTTTAGCAGTAAATTAAAGAGGCGCGAACATTGCTGCGAGCTGTGTGAAGAACGCGCACAAAAATTGCAACAAGCCAAAGACAGGAACAAAAACAAGAACGGACCGCACACACCGAACCGACAGCAGTTGCTGGCGGGAGGCACAAGTAGGAGGCAAGTTGCTAACAAGATGCGCGCAGGCAACGACAACGACAACAGCAGCAAAAACAACAACAACACCAGCAGCAGCAACAAGCAGTTAACAAGAGTACAAAGCGAAATGCCGACACGCAGCCGCCCAGAGCCAAGTCCAGTTGGCAAAAAGAACGAACGATATAAAACAGGCCACGCAACATGCGGCAGCAACCAGCAACGAGCAACGAGCTTGCCACCGCGCTCGAGTGACTAACAAAGCGGCGCAGCAGACACATCATTACCTACCAATTAGGCGCCCAAAATGCGCGCGTGTGCGTGTGTGTGTGTGTGTGTGTGTGTGTGTGTGCGTGTGCTTATGTGTGCCGTAGCAGACGCCGCGCTGCTCTTTTGGTGGCACAATAAACGTTTACAACAGCCAACAACAACAACGACGACAAGGGCAGGTTGACTGACAAGACAGCCAAGGCGAAATAAGCCATAACGCAGGCCCAACCTAAGCCAACAACAACAACAACACACTGTGGAGGCTGGTATATTATGTGGCCTACCTGGCTGCCCCTACCTGGCGCTCTTGTTGATGAAGTGCAAAGTGCTCGCTAACAGCTTGTAATGAGTTCAAAGTGTGGCCTTTTATGCAAAACTTAACGAGCAGCCAAGGAGGTTGCTGGAGTCGCAGCAGCAACAACAACAGCAGCTTCAGCAGCTACGGCAGATGAGTTGATGCTTCGCTCATAAAAATGCCATGTGATACGAAGATCATCAAAGTTGCTCTTAAAACAAGTAAGAACACTCTAGTGAGTAGCGCTCAATGAAGATATACTCCGTGCCTCGGTGATTTAAATAATTGATAGCTTTTATAGCAGCAGTGAGTAAAAACTGTTAGCTAACAGAGCTAGTTGTTAGTTAACAGCACAATGATTGATAGCTTTTACAGCATCAGTGAGTAAAAACTGTTAGCTAACAGAGCTAGTTGTTAGTTAACAGCACTTAGTATACTGAGCACACTGTTAAAAATTGATTGCTTTTATAGCAGCAGTAAGTAAAGTCTGTTAGCTAACAGAGCTAGTTGTTAGTTAACGGCACTTAGTATACTGAGCACACTGTTAAATAATTGATTGCTTTTATAGCAGCCGTGAGTAAAGTCTGTTAGCTAACAGAGCTAGTTGTTACTTAACAGCTTACAGTACTTAGCACACTGTTTGATAACTGAATTATGCTAATATTGTAATATCCAATAAATAAATAACTAAATAAGCTATTTTATCAACTGAAATGTTTATTTTGTTTATTTCTTTATATCTCAATACACTATAAATTAATTATTAAATAAATTTTAAGTCAAATACAATTAATTTAGCTTTACTTTTTGTTATTTGCGCCAACTCCTATATAGCAAAATCAGTTTCTTTATGCACCGTCATTTGGCATTGCTCAACACTTCATCTGGCATTTACGCACACTTGCACGCACATAGAGCTGACTCATCAAATCAACTCAATCTAGCAAATCAGCTACGAATTCAATTTGAAATAATTCGATTGATGTGCGCCACAGTTGCGATTGTTTGCGTTTAGGACTTGTGCCACAGAATGTTGCACGCACCACACGCACAACTTGTGCCAATCTGGAATGCCAACAAGCACAACATACACAATAATAATAATATGTTTATTCTGCAAAATGCCAATTGACGAGGGTCACTCGATGCCATGCAAACAGAAATGATTTGAGTGAATCGAAGAGGTCTGCAGGCTTCTAACTGGCTAATTGACAGCCATTTGAATACCCTTGAATGTGACAGCAAATGACAAGCATGCCACACATGCCACGCCAGCCATTTATTCACATTTATATATTTTTGTGGTAAGCAGGCATTAAAAATAAACAACAATGATGAAAAGTCAGCCCGAATATAATGCCTCTCGTATCACATAAAAAAATTACAACATAAATCTCATACACGCACACACACACACACGCGCACACATATACAGAGCTTTTGGGCTGCTGTATTAAAAATAATATCATCGTCTGGTCGACAAAGATAAGAAAATTTATCCAAAGGATTGTGTGGTGTTATGGCCACCGCAGAGAGCAGCCAAGTCGTTTGCCAAGCCAGACAGTTGAGCAGCTACCCCACGACCTGGACGCAAGCCACAAGCCACAAGCCCAAGCCCAGCCCCAAAACCAACCCAGTCTTTACACTAGCTATGTCCGCTCTTAGCCGTCAGCTTTGCTTTGGCAGCCGCAAGGACAAGGCCAAGCTGACAACAGATACCGACACATACATACACAAACACACACACACAAACACACACACACACTCACACCAACACTCGCACATTTTATGACCAGTTCAAGTCGAAGCCATCATCATCATCGTCCTGCTCGAAGCTCATCATCCGCCAAGACAGGAGCAGAAGCCGGAGCAGGAGCTGGAGCAGCAGAAGGACTTGAGCCGCTGGCTGTTTGCCGTGCTCCGTGATCTGTGGCCAGCGATAAGCTGCATTTTTTTTTTTTTCAGTTAAAGCGAGCGAATAAATTTCATAAATGCTTGCGCGTAAAAGGATTACGAGGCCAAGTGCCTGCCAACCCCTACCTCAGCACCACCAACAACCTCTCGCTCACCCCGTGTGCGTGTGTGTGTGCAAATATTTGGACACATGTGCAGCAGCTCTGTGTAATTTATTGTTAAAAACTCAAGTAAATTTTATATGACACCGCCGCCTCTGAGCAAGGGGGCGGCAAGTAGAGCAAGGGGAAAGGGTGCAGCTATAGCCTGGGGGCTGCCACAGATTTGATACCCTCATAACTCATTAAAAGCCTCCTTAGGCTCAGCCATGTATATGCTATATAATCTTAGCCAAAGTAATCTAATTTTGCTCATATTATTTATGAGTATGAATGGGATGTTGTGTAATCCATATATCATGGAAATTTATCAATATTAAGAGGAAACGATATTCATTTATCAAGTGAATCTAATAATTAGAATCTAGTATATGATGGAATATAACTGAAATATTTATATGCTGGGGCTTGAATCAAAGATTACTTCAAGAGCATTGCATTTTATTATAATTTACAAGATGAGGAATAGTATCATAAAATTTATTAACGAACTTAATGATAAATGAAATGATATATTGAAATTTAATGAAAAGAGAGTGCGCTTGGTGTCAATGCTATACATCTTATATCTAGAGGCAGCAGTTGCAGCAAATTACACACAGCTACCTTAAAAGTGCTCCATTTACAGTGGAACATGGCTATAAGAGCATGTCCGAAATGAAAAAATATTATTGATTGGTTTAAAAAATTTAAGTGGGTTATTCAATGAAAACCCTTTACAAGGCTACAATATTTTTTTTTTTTGCTCTGTAATCTTTGATATCCCAACACACACATTCACCCTCAGGCTATGCGCTTAATCATAAATACAAAATATGAGCAGGCGCCAGTTTCAATATAAGCGAAAGTTGCCTTCAGTTCCGTTTCGTACCCCCCCTTAGTTCAGTTCAGCTCAACTCAATTCACTTCAGTTCAGTTCAGTTACCAATGCGACCACCGTGCGTATGCGTAATGCGAGGTGGAATGCTGTTGTTGCTGGAGACGATGGACGCTTTTGATAAGCCAGGCGCGTAATGGATTTTTGTTTTAGTCTCACTGTTGAGCGATTGTTGGGTTTCATATACCTACATATATATGTATATTGTTTTTTTTTTTGGTGCAGTTGTCGCTGCTGCTGCTGCGGTTGACTATTTTGTAGCCCGCAGCATGGATTGCAATGCGTCCCGCATGCCAAACTTGCGCTGTTTTGCTGACTTTAACTTGGTCGCGATAGTCAACAGCAAACAAAACAAAACCCAAAAAAAAGGAAAAAAAATATACAAACAACAAAAAGTCGGCCGTCAAATGATTAATTACATGCCGAAAAGCTATCTAACAATTTGACTTGCTGTCTGTGTGTATTTTGGATTGTCATTAAGCCAGGCCAAAAGGAAGACAACAGCAGCAACAACAACAACAGCTCAGGCAGGCGAATAATAAAAAATTATGCTTCAGATAAAATGCCATTAGAGACTGGCGCTCCACTGTGCATGTGTGGGTAGGCAGAGGAGGTGGCTAAGGGGGTGTGGCAGGCAGGCAGGCAGCTCACTTAGCGCCATTAGAAGACAAGCAGCCAGCAGCTAGCAACAGCAGCCAAGAGCAACCAACCAAAAAGCGCTGCCAACAACAACAACAACAGCAACTATGGCTGAAGCGGAGGCCAGGCCAGGCACTGGTTTGCTGCAAGTATGCAATTCTGCTAGATAAGCCGAAGCATTCATGAATTTTATAGATAAAAACCACACACATACACA